GGAAGATTCAGATTGAGTTACTGGTTTCTGTCTTCAGCCTGGTCTAGCCCTGGCTGTTGGGGGCATTTGGAAGCAAACCAGCAGAGGGGAGACCACTGTCTTTTTCTTTAATAACATATCTAGATTTAAGAAAGATTTATTTGAAAGGCCGGGGGGGGGGGGAGACAGACACAGAGGGAGAGGGAGGGAGAAAATGAATCTGGTTTTTGTTTTCCATACAGTGGTTCACTCCTCCTAAATGGCTGCAAAAACTGGCGATGGGCTGGGCCAGGCTGAAGTGAGGAGTCAGGAACTCCATCCAGGTTTTCCACCATCAGTGGCAGGGGCTCATGCACTTGGGCCACCTTCTGCTGCTTTCCTAGGTACATTAGCAGGGAGCTAGATCAGAAGGGTAGCATCCAGGACTTGAATTGGCACTCATTTGGGATGCCAGTGTCACAGACTGAGGTTTAACCCACTGTGCCACAATGCTGGACTCTCTATGCCTTCCAAATAAAAAATAATTAAACAATGTTTAAAATGTGGGCAAATCCTTCAAAGTGATAGTTGACTAGGACCAGAAAGTAACAGAGATCTTATGATCTTCAAGAAGACTGATTTTTTTTAAAGATTTTTATTTATTTGAAAGTCAGAGTTACACAGGGAGAAGGAGAGGCAGAGAGAGAGTGAGGTATTCCATCTATTGGTTCACTCCCCAGTTGGCCACAATGGCTGGAGCTGTGCCGATCCGAAGCCAGGAGCTTCTTCCAGGTCTCCCATGTGGGAACAGGGGCCCACGGACTTGGGCCATTTTTTACTGCTTTCCCAGGCCATAGCAGAGAGCTGGATCGGAAGTGGAGCAGCCGGGACTAGAATTGGCGCCCATATGGGATGCTGGCGCTTCAGGCCAGGGCGTTAACCCGCTGCGCCACAGCACCGGCCCCTTTTCCTTGTTATACCTCATTTTCTAACCAAAAATAAATTAATTATTAAAATTCAGAGTTTCATTTATCATATTTATATCTGAGCACTTTTGGATTATTTTCTTGAAAATCCATCTGGAAGGAATAATAAGACACTACTAATGAGGTCCAAATCAAAGTAGTGTGGGCTCTGAAGTCTTTTGCTGGTATGAAGTACACAGGTATTCAAATAACAGAAGTTAGATGGAGGTATAAAATGGAATTCCAACAGTAGTATCATGACTAGAATATTCCTATAGTCTCTCATTTCACATTTCATTTTGTGAATGCAAAGCCACATGGCTGGAAAGATGAATGGATAGATAGGCAGGGGGGAGTGGCAGAGAATAGAAGAGAGGTGAAGGAAAGGGAAGAGGAAAGAAAAACAAGAACACTTTTAGCATCATTGAAAAATTTAAAGCCTCTCCAAGTGACTGCTTTGTAGAGGTTAACACTCATGTAGACATATGTATTTGATAAATATATTGAAAACATTTAAAAATTTGTTTGAAAAGCCATTTTGAAAGACTCAAAAGAAAAAAAGTCCCATAGAAAAATTTCTCTAACAAATCCATCCTCATTTAATTATCTAACTGCGATTATAATTTTTGTCCCAGCAATTTAATGAGTTAACTATGCTGGAAAACAATACAAGGAACATCCTAGAATCTTCTTGCTAGACACTTCCAGCTCCATGAGACACATTTGCTTCTAATAGCATAACTGTTTTCAAAAAATTCATTTTCTGAATGACAAGTGATTGGCAGTTTACATGTTTAACTTACCTCGTCATATGATTTATAAAGGCTTTTTGGCAGTTAGTGTTGTACTTGCAAAGAGTACAGCGGCTATATATACAAAAGTGGCTTACGAAGTCTTTTATTTGGGAACGACACTCAATGCACTTGTGTATCCCCTGAGGATACCTTAAGGAGACAGAAAAATGATAAAAATACATTATAAAATGAAAGTAATAAGTGAAAGTTATACTAACTTATTCATTGAAGCCAAGATGTTTAAATTAATACCTTTAAATAAAGACCTATAATTTGCAAATTCACTTTGAAACAAGCTAGAATAAGTGTAAAAAAAAAATCTAATACCAGTTAATGTTTCCCTGGAATAGAAAGGATCAAATTAACCAACTCTGGTATCACAGGACTGAATGTAAGATTAGTGTAAAACATGGAAATTACAGAATAAACAGTATCCTAAGTCATGCTCAATAATTGTATAAAAAGTTTCCTCTTTATCATTTGCTTGGCTTTTATGCCAGATAGGTAATTACACTATGTTAAGTAGGCAAGATAGCTTTTGGACATGGTAAATTGTATTAAACCAAATGCTCAAGAATAAATTAATAACGTATATCAGGAATAGAAGATATTACCTTAAGTTCTTCAAAGCTATGCTGATTGCATTTTTTCTGTTGCGGCGAGTCTTATGCTTGTAACTGGATTTCTTTCTGTCTTTAGCTGTACCTACTCCTGGCTTACTTGTACTAGGTTTATTTGCAGTGGGTGAAGCTGCACTCGTCTTAGATTTACTTGAATTAGCATTTGAAAGACTTTCAGCACTTGAATTTTTAGACTGTGGAGGTGAAACCTCAACAGAAGCACTTTGAGGACTTGAAGATGTACTTGCTTCTCTTGACGGAAGATGTTCAAATGAAGCTCGAATCGTAATCTTTTAGAAAATGAATTATTATGTTAGTATTAAAAGTATCACTGCAAGCCGTCATCTTTACGATCAATTGCTTTTTGAAAACAGTGCCAAAAATTTAATGGAAACAAAGAATAGTCTTATCAACAAATGCTGCTGTAAAAACTGATATCCACATGCAAAGGAATTAATTTGAACCCCCTATTTCATACTATATACAAAAATTAAATCAAGATGTATCAAAGACCAAATTTTAAGAGCCAAAACTAGAACTTTTAGAAGTATAGGGGCTGGCACCATGGCTCACTTGGTTAATCCTCTGCCTGTAGAGCCGGCATCCCATACGGGCTCCGGGTTCTAGTCCCGGTTGCTCCTCTTCCACTCCAGCTCTCTGCTGTGGCCTGGGAAGGCAGTGGAGGATGGCCCAAGTGCTTGGGCACCTGCACCCGCATGGGAGACCAGGAAGAAGAACCTGGCTCCTGGCTTCAGATCGGAAAAGTTCCGGCTGTGGTGGCCATTTGGGGGGTGAACCAACGGAAGACCTCTTTCTCTCTAACTCTGTCAAATAAATAAAAATTACATAAGAAAAAAAAGAAAGTATAGGAATAAATTCTCATGACCATAGTTAGGCAATGGTTTCTCAAATTTGTCACCAATAGCACAAGCCAATAAAGAAAAAAATAGAGGAATAGGCATTTCTTCAAAAGAAGATATAAATACTAAACATAAGAGTTATCACATGGCCCAGCAATTTCACTCCTGGGTATATCTCCAAGAGAAATGAAAACATCTGTCCACACAAAAACTTACAAGAATTTTTGTAACAGCATTAGTCATACTTGTCAAAGAGAGGAAACAACCCAACCCAATTGCCTATCAACTGATGCATGGGCAGACTGGAATATCCATAAAATGGAATGTTATTCAGCCATAAAAAAGAATTTACTGAAACACGTTGCAACATAGATGAACTTCGCAGACCTTAGAAAACAAACTAATCCTCAAAGATAATATATTGTATGATTCCATTTAAATCAAAGTTCCAGAATAGGAAAATCCATAGGGATCAAAAATAGATTTAAGTTTGCATGGGCCTGGTGAGGGAAAACAGGGAGTTATGGCTAATGGATATGGGGTTTCCTCTGGGTATGATAAAAAATGTTTTAAAATCGATTGTTGGGGGGCCAGTGCTGTGGCGTAGTGGGGAGAAGCTGCCACCTGCAGTGCTGGCATCCCTGTTGATGCCAGTTGGAGTCCTGGATGTTCCACTTCCAATCCAGCTCTCTGCTATGGTCTGGGAAGGCAGTGGAGGATGGCCCAGGCCCTTGGGCCCCTACACCCACATGATAGACCAGGACGGGGCTCCTGGCTCCAGCCATTACAGTCATCTGGGGAATGAACCAGAGAATGGAAGACCTCTCTCTCTCTGCCTCTCTGTAACTCTGCTTTTCAATAAATAAATCTTTAAAAAAACTGATTGTGGTGATATTTTCACAACTCTGAATATGCTAAAAATTACTGAATTATACACTTCAATGGATGAATTATACTCTATAAATTATATCTTAAAGTTGTTACTAAAAATCACTAATACAAGAAGTTAATATTTTGAAAATAGCATATAATATGAATTACAATCAGGTAGATCTATTTATTCTAAATGGTTATATCAATTAAATGAAATTTGATACTTACTATGGTAGTTTTAAATACAGTATTTATATATTATCACAGATATTAATAATTAAGAGTTAGTACAAACCAAATATCAAAATTTTTAAAAATCTTTAAAAGATTTTTAAAGATTCATTTACTTATTTGAAATTCATAATTACACTGAGAAGGACAGACAGACAGAGCCTCTGCTTCACTCCCCAGATGGCTGCAACAGCCAAGGCTAGGCCAGTCCAAAGCCAAGAGCCAGTTCTTTCAGGTCTCCCACATGGATTGCAGGGGTCTAAATACTTGTGCTATCTTTAGCTGCTTTTCCCAGGCCATTAACAGGGAGTTGGATCAGAAGTGCAGCACCAGGACACCAACCGTTGTTCATATGGGATGCTGGCCTCGCAGGCAAAGGCTTTACCTGCCATGCCACAATGCCAGCCTGTCTATGGATATTTTTAATCTACTGTATAACCAAAAAGCTTTCACAAATACAGGGGTCAACATTTAAATCTCAAAGCCTGAAATAACTGTGGGAAAGGCCTGCATTACCCTTTGATAACTAGAAAATAGATTTCCAATAAATGTGACCTCTTTCTAGGGGCTCACTAGGCAGGATTTCTGCTTCCCAAAGTTATGGTGGGTAATACATCAATTCATTATACAGCATGGAGATTTTAACAATGTCAATAATTTAGTTAAAGGGAGCCAATGTAAAATGTATTATCTAGTAATTGGAAAGGAAATAATTATACCCAGTGGTTAATGATGGAAAACACAGTTGCCTAATAATGTTATCTTTAATCATTTAACTATATTGTCCTCATGTATTTGAGGAGCAGTCTATGTAAAGTCCTGAGATACATGTGGTTTGGTATCATACAAAAGCACTGGACTAGGAGTCAAAAGACTTGAGGTTAAATCTTAATACTGCCTCTTCCTAGTGATGTGAAACTGAATAAGGAATTTATTCTCTCTAAGCCTCCTCATGTATCATGGGAATCCTTGCCTCACCTACCTTATTGCATCACCACATGGATCAAATAACAGAATATGAAAAAGCTGAAAGCTTAGTTCTAAAGTGGTATAAGAAATTCAGAGTAATATTTATTATTATTACTAGTGGTATATTAACAAAAAGGGAAGATGAGACGACTACATTGCTCACATTAATATTCTGTGTATCTATTTTCAACATGGGATGAATGTATGCAAGGAAGGACATTGGTTAATTTCTCACTCTAGCTGTCCAGAGCATTGCTTTACATTATTTTAGTTAATTCAAATACCAGTCATACATTCAAAGGTAGGTACTCAAATATAAATATTTTAGGATTATTCTACTTGGGATTATTTATCCCTCTACTATAGCAGATTCCCTAGAGCTAACTTTATCTAAAGAACTCAGAGAAAATGTATATGTAAGGAAACAGTAAAAAAGAAATTTGTAGTCAGATGTGTGCTTGCTCACTAACAGCAGCAATAAACTTGTTTCTCAGTAGATTCAAGTAATACCAATTACAACACCTCTATGTCATTCAAGGGGCTGTGATGGATCCTGGGGTTAAAGATAAATTCAACATAATACCTAATCTCAAACACCTTATCACCTAACAGCTGAAACAGACATATACTGCCAACTGGAGTAGCTTAAAAAGCCTATAGAATATTGAAACATCACATTGACTTGGTCTACAATCAATCGAGTTGCACTCACTGTGAAGGAATACTGCTCCAGCAAAGCACACAATCAACAGAAAAAACAATGGTTAGAAGTTTTTCTTTCCAAGCATAAGAATAAAAACTAAAATTAAGGTTGTAATAATAATCTGAAGTTAATTTTTCATATTATTTTCAATAGGTTTCTATTAATCATATAAAATGTTAAAATATATCTTCTTAGGGGAGGGGGTTTGGCCTGAGCAATTAAGACATGGGTTAAGACGCCTGCGTTGGCACTGGTGCTGTGGCGTAGCGGGTAAAGCTGCCACCTGTGGTGCCAGCATCCCATATGGGTGCCAGTTCGAGTCCCGGCTGCTCTACTTCTGATCCAGCTCTCTATGGCGTGGGAAAGCAGTAGAAGATGACCCAAGTCCTTGGGCCCCTGCACCTGTGTGAGAAGACCTAGAGGAAGCTCCTGACTCCTGGCTCCTCGGATTGGTGCAGCTCTGGCCATTGCGGCTAATTGGGTAGTGAACCAGTGGAAGGAAGACCTCTCTCTCTCTCTCTCTGCAACTCTGACATTCAAATAAATAAATTTTTTTTTAAAAAAAAGATGTCTGTATCTCCTATTGGAGTGCCTGAGTTCAATCCTTGGCTGCAGCTCCCAGTTCCAGCTTCCAGCCAATGCAAACCTGGGACACAAGAGGTAATGGCTCAAGTGGTTGGGTCCCTGCCACTCATGTGGAAGACCTGGACTGAATTCCAGGCTCCTGGTTCTGGCCCCTGTTCAGCTCTAGCCATTGTGGGCATTTGGGGAGTGAACCAGCAGATGGGAGCTCTCTCTGTGCCTATTTGTAAGATTTTATGTATATGTGTGTATGTATGTATGCATGCATGTATGTATGTATTTGAAAGGCTGGAGTGACAGAAGGGAAAAGGAAGGGGGAGGTAGTAGAAGAGAGAGTCCATCTGCTGATTCACTTCCTAATTGCCCACAACAGACAGGTCTGGACCAGGAAGAAGCCAGGAGCCAAGAACCCCATCTGGATCTCCCAAATGGGTGACAGGAACTCAAGTACCTGAGTCTGACACTTCCCTGGTACATCAGCAGAGAGCTGGATTGGAAGTAGAGTACCAGAGACTTGAACTAGCATTGATATGGGATGAGAGGATCACCCAAGCAGTGGCTTAACTTGCTGTGTCACAACGCCCATCTCACTGCTTCTTGAATAAATGAAAAAATTAAGATACAATGTATTTTAAACTTACTTTTGCTCCAGGAGGCAATCCTTCTAGTTCTCTAGGCTTTATAAATGTACGATGCTCTATCTTGTGATCCATTTTTTCCTTGCAGGTCAAAAACTGCAGTCTGCATTTTGTGCATTGTTGAATTCCTTTTTTCTGTTTACATAAAGTAACAAAAGTAATGGCAGAAATACCTTCTATTACCACACATCCTGGGACCTGAAATTGCTCTTAATTCTAATATCTGAATAATTTAAAAATCAGCACTTTACCATTTCCACCATAGATATACCAAAATATTTCATTTTTAAAAGCACTCTTTGCATTAGTATGCGAGTTTCAAAAGCTTGTGTTACCCCATAAGTATTCAAGATGAAAATCATATCAATTAGGTTTCAATGGGAAAAGTTGGTAACAACTGTATGAAAGCTCTTAATTATAAATTTGAGGAATAACTATTCAAACACATGATACTGTGAAAATGAGTTTTACCATATTTTTATCCTTAAAACAAATCTTTAAGTTTTGCTCTTTCCATTTATTTTGCAAGTTGGTAAAATAAACTGAACTTTTAAAACCAAAGAAATGTGATAAAAATCTCCCAAGAAAGCTGTTATAGAAACAATTGTGCAAGTCAGTGCTATCCAACAGAACTTTCTACAATGATGACAATGTTCTATAGTCACACTCCTCAGTATGGTAGGCACTAGCTGTATGTGGTTACTGAATACTTTAATTATAGTAAGAATGATTATGAAGCTGATTTTCTTTTTTTTCTGATTAAAGATTTATTCACGAGGCTGGCACTGTGGCGTAGTGGATAAAGCCGCCGCCTGCAGTGCCAGTTTAAGTCCTGGCTGTTCCACTTCTGATCCAGGTCTCTGCTATGGCTTGGGAAACCAGCAGAAGATGGCCCAAGTCTTTGGGCCCCGGCACCCACGTGGGAGACCCGGAAGAAGCTCCTGGCTCCTGACTTTGTATTGGCTCAGCTCTGGCTGTTGTGGCTGTCTGGGGAGTGAACCAGCAGATGGAACACCTCTCTCTGCCTCTCTTCTCTCTGTGTAACTTTCTCTGACTTTCAAATAAATAAATATTTTTTTCTTCAAGATTTATTTATTTGAAAATAGAATTGCAGAGAGAGAGTGAAAGACAGAAAGATTTTCTATCTGCTGGTTTACTCCCCAAGTGACTGCAATGGCCAGGGCTGCGCCAGGCTGAAGCCAAGAGCCAGGAAGAGCATCCAGGTCTCCCACGTGGATGGCAGGGGCCCAAGCACTTGGGACATCCTCTGCTGCCTTCCCAGGCATATCAGCAGGGAGCTGGACTGGAAGCAGTGCAGCCAAGATTTGAGTCCTATATCTCGTTAGTAAAATAATAAGATTAGGTTTGAGGAAGAACTCTGCCAAGGGGTCCTCAAACAGTACATCAGGACCAAATCTCATTTCTATTTTTATTATTGCTTTCTAACTTATAAGAACAAGTTAATTTTATGATTATCTAATGACTATCAAAAGCCATATTACTATCAGTGAATAAATTGGCCATGACAATACAATCAATAATAATATAATATAATGAGCCAAGTAGTGAAGAAACAAAACTTGATTACATAAACAGATCAGTAAATTCACTAACTTCTGATTTTGGCAAAGCACGGCTGTTCTTTCTCCCAGAAACTCCCGCTGCTTCATCATGGTTTTCAGCCCAAAGGACAGTCTATAATTTCAGGAAAAGAACCAGTTAGCATAAAATGAGAATTCAAGGGAAAGATATAAGCACTGATATTGGCATACCAGAAATTACATAGCAGAAGTGGTAAAAGATATGCAGAAAAGAAGTTACAACCCAAATACAGTTCTATGGCACAGTTCACATATCTGGCAATAAGTATCATTGCTGTTACTTTGGAACCAGCTGCTACAGAAGACCATTCTGGATCACTGATGATAGTCATATATCTTCCCATTATAAAGAGCCAGTTACAAAGTAGAAATAAGGTTTCAGGGAAAAAAGACAACAGAAGGTTATGGGTCCCCAATCTCATGTTTTAATTCAAATGTACCCTTTCCCCTGCTCTTGATAATCACCTTCAAAAGCATTCCCATTTTTACCACTCTTAGACCCTGAAATAGCCAACATAAGTATTCCACTCATCTCTTTTCTTCCAGAGTTGCTATATCTAGTCATCTTTCAGGACTTTTACCATTAATGAGCTTCAACATCATGAAAAAGAACAGGTAAAGAAAACAAGTGGAAATTTTACAAGTAATTCAGCATAAATCGTAAATTATGTCATTCAGAACAAGTCTTTCTATCTAGAACAAATTTAACCAATGTTTTCTCTCTGTATATATTTATCTTCACTAAGAAAACACAAATAACTACTAAATCTCACCTGATGCTTCATGTAATGATTCGCATAGGGGGTTGCCATTTTACTAACTTTGAGGCAAAATGGACACAACAAGTTTTTAGTGTTATCATGGGATGTTCTAAAATGAGTCTCTACATCAGAAAATGTTGATGATCTAAACTGGCAAACCTAGAAATATAATGAAGGTTTAGTTTGACACAAAAGTATTTAACTGAAATGCATTTATTTCAAAGTAGCAACAACAGATCATTTCTTTAGATTATTATTTATTACTAGTTCAGCTCTGCTGCCTATATAACCAAGAATCTCATTACTGCAAGTAATAATAAAAATCCCTAGAACAGAAAAGTTACTTTTCAAAGCTTCGGGACATATTCCAAAAACAGAGCTAGCCTTCTCTCTTCTTTTTAGTTCTTCTCTCTATCTTGACTTAAGCTTTCAGGCCCCGACACCTCTTGTTCTATGTTTTTCTGTTATATAACACAGAGTATTCTCTTCTTATAGACTTTTTTTTTACTTTTATTTAATGAATATAAATTTCCAAAGTACGGCTTATGGATTAC